GAACTATTAGACAATGAGTATGACACGAAGTATGGAAAAAGTTTTCGGTAAGTCTACCCCCGAATCAATTAAAGTACATATTTATGTACATAGCTGTAAATCACACATGCATACATACATACATACATACATACATACACAAATATTAATGATAAAATAAATCCTTGCAGACACTTCACCCGCGAAGCTTTGCCCAGATTGGACAACTATCGAAACATTATGTCAATTCAAGCTGCTTATCGTCCAACTCTTGATGAGTTACACAACGCAACCTTGACCGGAAAGGTAATTCCAACTAAATGATTATTTATGTACATAGAATGAAAATCTAATGCATTCTTGCATGGCTGCGTAATTGAATTCTGTCTGTATGTATGTATGTATTTATGACATATGCACCGTTACTTATATCTCTTAAACTGTCGATTGTCTTCATGGCATCTTTTTATTTGTGTTTTTATTTTTTCTTCCGTTTTTTTTTTTTGTAACAAATTACTGCACTTGGTTTAAAATAGGTACAGTGTTTCTCGCCGTCACCCCTGTAATTCAATTACACCGAACATAAAATCGCGCAGATATGGGTGCATACTCGTACATACATACATATTTACATTCCTCCGATTCTATGCAGTTAAATATGAACTGGACTGGGCAATTACTCCCAACACAAAAGCCACTCATAATTTAATTAAGACCAATTTTTAATTGATGCGTCATTTAGTGAACTCAATGCGCCTTTTTGGCCTTTGGGAGACCGACGATTTCTACGCTACATTAATCTACATAGTTATATATGTATATATACATATATATATGACATACATACATATATACATATTTGTATTCATCAGCCTAACTCCATTACAGAAACTATAAATAAGACCCCTTTTAATATATTCCAATAAAATTTTTTTTTACTTATTTTTTGTTTTGTTTTTGTTTAACAGAGCGCCAGCTTAAGCCGCAATCAGGACCCTGAAGCGGCTAACATGAATGGCGCCTTCAAATTCGGTTGGATTAAGGGAGTGTTGATCCGTTGTTTGCTCAACATCTGGGGCGTAATGTTGTTTCTACGTCTTAGCTGGGTGGTGGGACAAGCCGGAATCATAGAAGGCTTCATTTTGATCCTGACAACGACCGTCGTTACGTGTGTCACTTCGCTGTCAATGTCAGCGATTAGTACAAATGGTGTGATTAAAGGGGGTGAGTGCAAGACTAGAGTGCGAAAGAGCCATTTAAAATACGTACATACATATTTGTAATGAAGCACATATTTTACTTGTATGTACTACATTAAAAACTGTATCACAGAAAAAGTTCAATTTGTTCCAAGCTACTATTTTGAAGAAAAACCACTGGCGTGCTTTGTTGAACTCGGCCAAAATCGCTTAGGCGGTTAGAGAGCCAAAGAAGAAGAAGAAGAAGAAGACTTTGAGAATATTTTAGGGGTGTAAACATTTTTATTTTCGGCACCCTGTAAAAACAGCTAAATCGTTTTTTGCTGTAAGGATATTAAAAAAAAAAACCTCCTTTTTAGAATTTCGATTCTAAATATTTCCTTTAGGATGACGATAACCCGTGTCTACTTGAAGTTAAAGTTTCGGTTAAAAAGTTTTACGGAATTCGCCACACTATTCGAAAAAAATTACTTACTTATGAATGTACATAAATACTTTTTTTTGAGTACTACGGTACCCAAACCTGCTCACTGGATCGTTTTGGTATATATCGAGCTTCAAAAACCTTCACGCGAGCTCCGGGGTAGACTTAGCCCCCTTATGTATATTGATCGCAACCTATACGGACCTACCTATCATCAGCACTCACAATTTACGTGCCCCTGAAACTAGACAAATATTGTGCCTTCTTTATTACTTTCATCATACTCTTTGATCTTCTGATCTTTTGGTATCACAACAAAGGATCTAGTTTAGACTCAGACTAATGGCGTTTGGGATTTATTCGGTGCCATTACTGAGACTTTCTCCACCAGTTGCTAGTACTTAGTGACCAACACCATCCCAGACGTTTAAACGTCCAAATTTAGAATAATCAATGACGCCAATAAAAAGTCCTCTTCCACCTTCACGAAGTCCCGATGATCCTCCCTAATCGGTGAAGTGGTTAGACAACGGACTTGGTAGTTAGCGTTAGTGGGATGGTAGCTCCAAGGCGCAAGACGTTCGATGTTTGCTATTGGCCCCTCGGTACATTCAACTTTTGTGAGAGAAACCAGCCTTTGAAGTTGCCGTAATTTTTCTGCCGCAGGTGGGCTCATTAGTTTTACATTTGATTTTACGCGTGGCGAAAAGAGGAGATTATTCGCTTGGACAGAGATCCACTGTAATCAGCTTATGACGGGGCTCAGACTGGATGGTCCTCGGTACCGGTGATGCGAAGTATTTTCGTGTGGTGCGGTAATCTCAGTAAAAGTTCTTAGCCGAAAGTTTAACGCCAAGTTTTTTCGGGTTATCGTTATGCTATAGTTAATATATATGTTATATACTTTAAATGGGACAAAATTATTCCATATCAAATTTTGCAACTAAAGAATTCTGTGACAACTTTATTTATGTGCATACATAAATATGTATGTATTTTAATACTAACTCCTATATTCATATGTTGAAAATCTTCCCGTTCCATTTCTTTGAAGGTGGGACATATTATATGATATCCCGTTCACTTGGTCCGGAATTCGGCGGATCTATTGGTCTGATATTTTCACTGGCGAATGCCGTGGCTTGTGCTATGTATGTTGTGGGCTTTTGTGAGTCTATGTTGGATCTATTGAATAGTTTCGGTCTCAGTATTATTGATGGTGGTACCCAAGATGTGCGGATAATTGGCTGTATCACCATTTCCTTATTACTTATTATTGTTGTTGTTGGTATGGAATGGGAGGCGAAGGTAAGTAAATAGAGCAGACATGTACTATATATTAAATAAATTGATGTTTTACAAAACATTTCAGGCCCAAATTGGTTTACTCATAATTTTATTAGTAGCTATAGGAGATTTTATAATCGGTTCACTGATTGGCCCAAAGAGTGAATTGGAAAAAGCCGAGGGTTTTATCGGCTACAACTGTGAGTGCAAAAAACAAAACTAATTGTGAATCAGGTTATAGCTTTCCATATATGTACTTTACTATTTTTGTGTCTGTAAATGCAGTTACAATTTTCAAGGAAAATCTGTTCGCCGACTACAGGAAGGAAGATGGAGTGCAGCACGACTTTTTCTCGGTCATAGCGATATTCTTTCCGGCAGCCACCGGTATTTTGGCAGGCGCAAACATCTCGGGCGATTTGAAGGTATTTAGAAAACACATTACTACTTCCGTATTAGAATTTTCACTCAAAATATCGAGCCATAACCGCCAAAATAACGTAAGCGACATTTTTTTCAAAATTTTATTTTTGATGCAGAAATGCATCTAAACGCTCTAGGAATATTTCTGCATCAAAAAGAAAATTTTGAAAAAAAAATGTCGCTTACGTTATTTTGGCGGTTAGGGCTCGATATGTACATATGTATGAATGCAGAAGAATGAAGAGTGTGCAAAGAAAGTTTTTTTTATCGAAATGGTTATCTGCATATATCCATATATCATTATCTGTATTTTTTTCACTATCAACATTTTCGTTGCCAAAGGCTTAACGGACATTAAAAAGCTTAATACTGGTAAAATTTTTACTCAAAAATAAAAAGAATTTAAGCCAGAAAATTTATACAATATTAATTGTACAAATTTCTGCTAGGATCCCCAAAAATCGATACCAAAAGGTACCTTGATAGCTATTCTGATTTCAACCGCTACATATCTGCTAATGGTTCTCATATGCGGAGCCACAGTGGCTCGAGACGCTAACGGAAATGTAGCTGATCTTATAAATGGCTCGTACGCTTTCCTCAATTGCACGCCAGGTAAGTTCAAAATGTCAACCGGCTGAATATTGCTAATCATTTCATTATTGAACGTTGAATTCAAATTTCCAAAAAATTTAGGTGAATGCAACTATGGCTTGCAGAATTCGTTTCAAGTGATTGAGCTTGTTTCCGCTTTCGGACCTCTGATATATGCTGGCTGTTTTGCGGCAGCAATTTCTTCAGCCTTGGCCAGTTTGGTTTCAGCGCCAAAAGTGTTTCAAGTATGGGGCGAATAAGAATTGCCATGTCTTCTTGGAATGTTTATTATCGTGGTCTTCTTTATATATATTACTACAGGCGCTCTGCAAAGATGAACTCTATCCGAAAATCGTGTGGTTCGCCAAAGGTTATGGCAAAAACAATGAGCCTGTCCGTGGCTATGTGCTAACATTCATCATCGCTGTTGCGTGAGTCATTTTGCTGAAGTTTTATTTCACACATAAAATTACATACACACATATGCAATATACATATATTTAACTGAATATTCTGGGTTTTATATGAACCATTTTTTTTTTTTTTGTTATTCGATCCGCTTGGCTTTCACATTGCAGTTTCATTTTAATTGGAGAACTCAATCTGATCGCGCCGCTTATTTCGAACTTTTTCCTTGCCGCTTATACGCTCATTAACTTCAGCACTTTTCATGCCAGCTTAGCTAAGCCGGTGGGTTGGCGGCCAACATTTAAGGTTCGTACATACTCGCTTACATACATATGTTGTATGTATGTATACTAGGGTGGATCGACAAAAAAAGTTTTTCCAGTCCACCCCTAGGATTAAAGATATTTTGAAGGCGATCGCAAAAAAAATTTTTGTATTTTTTTGCCACGC